ATTATTTTTGAGGGGGTGTTTCACTCCCTAAACATCGAAATAAGTATAAAAAATATGGGTCTACATATATATATATGCGTGCGCGCACATACACACCTTTTGTGTGTGTATGTGGGTGCGCTCGTGCGTATGCGTACGTGTGTGCGTGTGTGTTAATACTCTATATAGTATTTATAACTAATTTAATAATTTTTAAAAACAAGATAAATGTGTATATTATCTTTTCCATTAATCAAATAATTATTGTGTTATTTAGATTAATGTAATCAATAATCTACCAGTTGGTCAAACTTTAATGGATCATGTATTAACTGGTCTTGACTTGATTGTGCTTAATGCCAGTCTTGGATTGAATCTTTCGGATATCTTTAATCCTATGTCAGCCATCAATTACTTCCTTTTTGGGAAGGGTAAAACAATATATTAATACGTATAAAGCTATGCATGCAAATGCACTTGTCGTATTTACCTCAAAAGAGCACTATTTTTTGTTTTTGTATTAGTGAGTAACTAATAGATATATAACGGCGAATGAATATAAAACAACAGTATAAAATAATAAGTATAAAACATAAGTATAAAAGTATAAAAAAATAAGTATAAAACAATAGTATATAAGGATAAAACAATAATTTCAAACAATGGTTTTATTTCAAATTATAAATCGAACATTTTGCTAAATATGAAAGGTATAGAAAAATATTTTAGTGAAAATTGTTTACTATTATAATATTAAGGTAAAGCTATATTGCTAAATTAATAGTTTACATGATATTTTATACTTTATATTGGCATTTTGACGTGAAATATATTAAATGTCTTTGGAACTATTATTATTTTAAAATCGTACCATAAACAGAATAATGAGATGAAATAATTGATGTATAAAGAAAATATAGCTGCGCGCGCTTCAAAATGAATATAGTATAAACAAAATGGATAATTTTTTAAATGAGAAACTATGTTTTCTTTACATCAATTGATTCATCTCATTATTCCGTTTAAGGTAATAGTAAAAAAATTAATAGTTTACGTTTATGAGATATTTAATATTTTATGTCAAAATGTCTAATATAAAGTACAAAATATATCTCATAAACTATTGATTTTTTGATAGTTTTACCTTAATGCTTTTATGCGGAATAATCAGAGGAAATATATTATGTTAAAAAAAAATCAAAATTCTATTTTAAAAAATGGTACCCCCAGACCTTGTGAAATTTTTTTTCGAAAATTAATTTTAACAATATTTACATCTTTTCGGACTGTACAACTTTCAATTAAAACTTTTTTTCTTTCATATTTCCCGAGATATTTGATCCATTACATTTGAAATAAAATATCTTGTATACCTATCGTATAATAATTAATAAATATCATTATGATGATTATTAATTTATATTTAATTAGGACCATGGACATTATCTGGAATAGAAGTATTAGGAACTTTTCATAGCCCTTTACATGCAAATAAATCCATAGTACCAGATTTACAATTAATGGTATTACCTTTAGGAGTATCAAAAGATAATGGTTTAATACTCAAGAAAACAATGGGAATTTCTGATAAGGTATAAAAAGTATATAGTTAAATAAAAATAAACACATTATGAATTATAAATTACAAATAGAAAGAGAGTTCACACATTCATCACACATACGTGCATTTTTCTGTGTGTGTATATGTGTGTGTGTGTGCGTGCGTGCGTGCGTGCGTGCGTGCGTGCGTGCGTGCGTGTGAAGGAGAAAAGCTTGTAATTTTCAAAAAGTTTTCTTTTAGGTCTATAATAAATATTTTGCTCAATTTTCACATCAAAACACAGTAACCATTGCGCCTGTCTTATTACATCCTAAAAGTAGTGGAGAATTACGATTGAAAAGCAGTAATTCTTTTGATAAACCGCTGATTGATCCAAAATATTTATCAAATGAGGATGATGTCGACACTCTCATAGAAGGTAACTAAAATGTAGATGATGCATTATAAGACTATGTATTAAACATCCGTAAAACAATATTTATATTACATAAAGCATGAGTATTTTAGGTTTGTATTTTATAAAGAAACTCTTGAACACGACTGTTATGAGAGTCCATGGTGCATCTTTTAATAAAAAGTCATTTCCCGGTTGCGAGAACCATGTATTTGATACTAGGAAGTATTGGAAATGTTACATAAAACATTTAACACTCACGTCTTACCATCCAGTTGGTACATGTCGCATTGGCGATGTTGTGGATACAGCATTTAAGTAATTATCAAGTTATATTATAGTTAAAGAAAGATAAAAAATCAATATCAATTCAATATAAGAAGATTTAAATACTAAATCTTATAGGACCGTAGATGTGAGAAACACAACCAATGAGAAATTGGTTCAATGAGAATATAAGAAGTTATGATAATAGTATTATACGTTATATACTTTGATAAACAAAGATAAAGAAAATAAGGATTCTTCTTATAATTTTTACGATGTTTTGATTTTAAAAAGTTTTAATTTTTATATCTTTTATATGTAGGGTGTTCAATGTAACGGTCCATATGATTTTTTAGACATTGTCCGACAGTTAAAAAGAAAAGTTGAAAGGTATACATATATTTATTTGTTTCATGCGGATTATAGGTGAATTCGGTCCGGAGAGACACTATAAATGCAAACGCTACCAACGCTGTTCATAGAATTCGATATCGTGCCAATAGCACGATAATGTTAGCAAGCTCTATAAACAAATATTGTGTCGATAGTATTTGTGAGTTAGATTACGTTAAAATGGAGCTACACATAAGATAATATTCTATTAAAAAGTAGAATATACATGTTTATAAACAAGTCATAATTTTTTTAACACATAAATTGATAGTGTAGAAATGCTTTTATAACACTGTAGACGTAGAGTAGCTTAAAATATGAGTCTCTCAACATGAACACTATGCCATCTTTGATTCAAAAAATGAAATTTTTGACAAAATGCATTTTGGAAATTTGCTCCATATTAATTGATGTTTAATATACAAGATTTCAAATTTCTCATTAAAAAAATCTATCGGAGATAAATCCGAAGAATGCACCGGCCATCGGACTGGTCCATATGTACTTATGACACCATTTCAAAAAATATCCTAAAGATAATTTTAAATTATTCGTGCATTATGGGCTGGATAATCGTCCATGGATTAATCTGTTAAAAATCAAAATTTGTTTACATAATCTTTTTTTATTAATAGATATTTATGTACATATGTGTGTTTATGTATAAAATCAGTAAAACATTAATAAAAGTGATGATAGTATGTTGAATTCGTTTTGAAAACCTCTATAATATTATGAAAAAAATTGTATGGTACTATTTAAAAATTCAAGATGACATCTTGTCTTTTTAAATTAAAAACAATTTAAAAAAATTTTTTACCATATGCGGGTTACACTACAACACATATGTTGTGTAGCCTGCATGAAACAGATAAATATTCACCTTTTAATCCTTTTGCCAACTGCTGGAAGTGTTTAACAAATTGTATATAACTATTATGTTGATACTTATGTATAATACATTGTAAGATATACATTCGGTATCTCACACACTCTGTATCTAATCATATATACTTACGTTTGTATCTATTATAGAGTTTACAACATGAGAAATCTGTATGTCGTGGATGCATCAGTTCTTCCATCGTTACCAAGCGGAAATCCCCATGCACCTGTGATTGCATTGGCACAAAGAGCCGCCCGTATTTTTAAAAGAAAGAAAAAAGAAAAAAGGAATATACGAAAACAGTCTAAATCATACAACATTTGCTATGTATTTAATATTTGTATTAGTATATAAGATATAGTATATGTAAATATGTATATATATGTACATATATATAAATTCTTAAATAAAACCTGTAACAAACTAAATAGCTCATTAGTACATATTGATAATACATATTGATGTTGCAATATATATATAAAAAATGTTATTGATCTAATAATTTACGTACAAATAATTACAAACGTTTCGACCTATAATTAAGATCATTATCAATGTTAAACAATATAAATAATCCTTATTATACATAAATAAATTTGAATTTTTGTAAAACGTCTAATAGACTACATTATTCATATAAATTTAAAAATATATTTTTTGATGTTCAATTAATTTAGAAAAATAGTCTTTAACATAAGTATACGACTGTATTTCTTATAATCACTATACCAAATTCTCATTTTTTTTTTATTGAATGATGCTCTAGTTACGGTTCTCCTATCTCGTTATTACAAACTTCGCATATTAAACAACGCATATTGACAATATAACATGGGCAAGGTAGAATACCCAGCTCACTTTAAATTTTGACAAGAATAGACTCATTCGATGCGTTTTTGCACGAAATGAATGAATCTAGCAAAAAAAAGTGCCACTCTGTTCCCCGAACCAAGATAAGCGTTAAAGTTGACGACTGTTCTATCTTATTTTCATATATATATGTGTGATCGAACCTTTCTAACAATTTAATTACTCGTTACAAAATTCCGGAATCTCTATTTTCCTAACTCTCCTTTCACATCACGCGATCCCACCCCGCGTTCACCGTACACTCGCACCTTTTCGCACCCTCGGACGTAACATTCACTAATCAAAATTTTGATATTATTCCGGCCATTCGAATTCACGATTTTCATCCTAGTAATACGACTATCGCAGACTTTGACGTAAGTTGCCACTTAAACGGTCATGACAAAACAATGATATCAGCTCTTAATTATGAATTAAATTTGGTTAATCATTTAAAAAATCTTATATAGTTCGCAAGAATTGTAATAAAGAAGTACATATAAATAAATATGTGCAAATATATAGATTGTTTATTTCCAGTTTATAATACACACATTGTATATACTTTTAGTGTGTTGCATATATTTTCTTTTACATTTAAAATATTTATTAAAATAATAAATTATAAATATATTTAGCATTTGTTTAAAGATATACGTAATAAATGTTAAATGTATAGGTATTAATTTTATTGCAATACAAGAGTTTCAGTACCTCCTTTTCGTACAACTATGCCATCTGTCTGTTTACTTTCTTCTGCACAATGAATTTTACAAGAAAATATTCTGAAACGTAAAAGTATTTTACTTTTATTAACATTTATGAAAAATTAAGAACATTTTATAAGATGTTATGTACAGATTCAAATCTAATTTTGAACAATATTTAAAAAATTGTATAATATATATAAATCTGAATAAATATTGAATAAAAAAGCAAAAATATTAAGAAATTTTATTAATGTTATCAGATATTTTTAGTTTAATTTTCCAATGCGATGATTAAGTTTTCCTAAACTAACAACAAGAATAATAATAACATTTTATTAAACTTTTGAAGTGAAATTACATATTTATAAAAATATATCAAAATCAAAGCTATTGATAAATGTATTAAAATTATCTTAAGTATGTGAAAACTGTCAAAAGACTACAGAAATAAACAGCATCTTAAAAACTGTAAAATATAGAATTATTTAAGAAATTTAGAATTTTATAATTAAAATAAAATAATGGAAAAAATGTATAAAATTAATAATTCTATTTAAAATTTTATAGATTTTTATTACATGTGTGTGTGCTATGAAGCTGTATAGTATGTATTTGCTAAACCAATTATATGTTGAACGTATACATATATGCATAGAATGGTACTTACGATATAATAGTATTCCATTGTTGCGTTCTATTCTCGTACTGTACAATGTACTCTTTTATCTTTTCTTGTTCCTTGTTCAAATTTCGTAAAGTTTCTTCCTCTACCATAATCATATTTTGTAACTCTCGTTTGAATGTTTGTCCAACATTATTTAAATTGTTGTTGGTCTAAAAAAAAATATCGCTCTAAATATATTAAGTAGAATGATAAAGATTATATCAGAAACTTCATATACTCACTTCGGCTTCATTACGTAGTTGTTCTTCAATAAGTTTTATTTTCGTAATTTTTTGTTGCAATTGTTTCTTATCTTTAGTATCCTACAAGACACAATATTATTTTGACACATTGACAAAAGTTTGGCAAATAAAAGATGATGCAGCGTCTGATGTGCGAAAATCCAAAAAATTTAGATATTTTGTATGTAAAAATTATATTTGATTTGCTGTTACAACTTACATTTCAATCGCACTTAGGATTATTCTCAATGAAATAAGCAAAACTTAAAAATAATTCTCTCTCTCTTTCTCGCGCATATAGGTCATCTCCACTCAGCTTCATTAATTTAAATGCTTTTACTATGATTTCATGCTAGTGAAAACTCGCAAAAGTTGCAAAGAATAAAATCAAAAGGACTAATGAAACTTATACGCGGTAAATATAGTGTGCAATAGTCTTTTTCAAAACTAGCAAATAGGAATGCATCGAATATCCGGCTAGTACCCGGTTTCCGGCAATATATACGGCCAAAATTTTATATTGAAATGACAAACATGGTGTGAATATCCTGAAAATTTTTTTATTATAACTGATATTTTACTATTCAATAAAAAATAGGAAACACTTCCAAACACGCTCAATATTGCGCAATAGGTATTCAGAACACCGTAACTCCATGATAAATCATCGTAGAAAAAAGTCAAAGACATTTGAAAATTTGAAACCTCTACTTTTGAAATGTAATTGATATTTCAATCTGACTGATTTTTTACGGAGTAATGCAGATAAATGGATATCTGTCAAATCTAAAAATTTTGTACAAAATTCAAGCTCATGATCGCGTGCTGTTTGCCACGGTGCTGGTATAATAATAAATATAAATAATAAAAATCGCTCTTTTATGACATAAGCTCGGACTGCTAAAAAAAATTTCTTTATCTATTGTCGCACTATTGAGAATTTAACAAGGAAAGAGGTGTAATGCCGCTTCAATACTTTTATTGAAACTATAATTCTGACAAAAGTGTATGAACGAGTCTCGGAGATTTATAGAATATATTTGTTATTATTTTTCATTAATACAATTTCTTTGTACTTTATTACAGTAGTACCCTGTTTATTCTCCGAAATATTCTCCGTTTCCGGCCACAAACCACCCCCTCTATCAATACTATGGTAGTCGATGTTCATTTTTTTGATGATTATTTTGAGTACATATATATATAGTATATATGTAGGTATATATACGCAAGAGTTATTTCTAAGTTTTTTGTCATCTTACTGGATGGTTCTAAATGTGAAACGTATAAAGTTGTAATAGCAAGAGTCAACAAATAATATATATATGCATGTTCTTTATGTGTAACGCAAGGTGACCATTCAGTCCAAAATTTGGACTCTATCACTTTATAACGTGTCCCAAAATATGTCTCAAATTGAAATCATGATTATGAATTATCCCTCTTTTAAGCATGAAAATATTATAATAATGTATAATTTTAGTAATATATAATTTTCAACGTAATTTTTTATTAAAAAACCCAAATTTTATTTATGAAATATATTCAGTAGAAGAATATATAATTTTAAGAAATAAAATATGATTTTGTAATTTAATATAATTTTTGTTGTGATCTTATGTGATGTTATACATTAAATGTTATCAATTATTTACAAATATAATAGTATAATATCGTTCATGTATTTATTAACAATTATAAAAAAATATTTATCTAATAAATTTAATTATGACGATTAATATTGAATTTTTTAAAGTCCTCCTTTCGCTTTTTAAAAAGTTGGTTGCCTTAATGTAAATTTTACCTATAATTACCTGTGATAATTTTTCCTTTAAACGTTTTGTTTCCAACAATAAATCACTCGTCGTATTTTTTATACTCATTTCTACTGTGTTATGACTTTTACATGCTTTTCGATATCTCTCATCAGTCTCGCGTGCTGTTTGCCGTAACGATTTCATATCTGTAATGATATACGGATAAGATATAATTAGACAAAAAGATGGTAACATAGACTCCCACTTTATATTTTATATATTTTTATTTTTTAGTTATATTTAAGTAAATAATGTCATAAATAATAATGTGGATCTAATTGTAAATTTAATATAAAACAATCAAAATGATTAAGATAGTTAACGAATAAAAAATTATTTAAATAAAAAAATTATTTAAATAATGATATGACTATGTGAATATGAGTAAAGTATAGCATTTCTTATATTTATATTTTCTTATATTTAATTTGATCTTTTCTTATAAAGTTCAAATAGCTTGATTTTATGGAAACTTCTGAATGCAATAAGATATCATCAGAGGCAATACTCAGACAGTACTCAGCTAACGCTAAATATCCTGAAATATTCATAAAAGATTTCTAAAGTCCCAAAAAAATGTTTCAAGAGTATTCCAAAATGTTTACAGAATGTAAAAGCAACAGTCAAATATCGGTTAAAAATTCAATTTATATATCGTTACACACACACACACACACATATTTCGAGAATGTTTTATATATATTTCGTAAAATTTTAATTTTTTCAGAAATTTACAGAAAAAAGGTCCAATCATTTCTAAATTTTCAAACTTAAAATTTTACCATAAAAAATACATTTTAGGTACTTTCACTTTAATTGTAGCCCAATTTTGGGGCTCACTTCACACCTTCATAGGCGAAATGCTGCGCTCCTTATATTTTCTCCCAGGTGATTCTTATTTAAAAGTAAATGCTCTCCTCTGTCGACAGAGATATGTATGTACTGCTCGCTTGCAAGTGAGTTTCATGATATACATATACAAGGAGTATATTCATACAATATTTAGAACATTCGTCGACATTTGGACAATCTGTGACGATTTTTTTATTGTTTTGGAATATTCGGCACGTTAGGAATATAAATCGAACTTTCTATGAATATTTAGCATTAGCTAGGTAAATAAACATTATTTAATTTTATAAAAGGAATGTTGTTATTATACCTTTTATGACCGGAGCAAGATTGGTTCGCAGAGCCAATATCGAATGAGATAATTGAGTATTTGTCGCTAAAGCGTTATCTAGTGTATAATTTTCTGGAATTATTACTTTAGGTGTGATATTCACTGAATAAGAATGAATTATCTGAAATTATAATACAAATCGCATATACATATTTATTATATCAATTTACTTGTAGCTTAAGGAGATCTAAAGATTGCATGTTCCAATACCTGTTCGTCTAAAATAGTTACTGTTCGTTGAAGCACACCACTTTCTGCTTTCAGCCCAGCTTTCTCTGCTTTGCAACGCTTATACAATGAACTTTTAGTTTTTAAACGATTGATATATCTTTTTAATTCTTCTGCTCTAGGAATTGACGTCTCCAATAAAATTTTTGAATAATCTTGTTTCTCTTTTAATCTTGATTGTAATTCCTCTAAGGAACTTTCTATTTTTTCTAAACGTTCAAGGGCATTTCGTTTCATATTTCCAACAGCAGCAGCTTGTTGTCTGAACGGTCCCACTTTATCGATATCATTTTTAGATATCTAAAAATATTAAATGAGAAAAACTTTTTAAGACTGTAATGTAAAAATACACAGAAACTATAAGAAACAAAAGCTTTAAACGATCAAGCTGAATTTTTAGTGCTTAGGAATAATTTATTGTAAATTAATTAATGGTCTGTTTTCTGTTGCTGAAGTAATGTACTTTTGAAACTTAAAGTAAGACAGGTATATGTTTGATATTTGTTGAAAGATAATACTAGTGCAATCTAGTGCAGAAACAGAAAAAACAGATCATAAATATACATATTAAATTCTGCGCGCCGAATTTAATTTTTAATTTTGAATCATAATCTTAACAGAGCTAAAATGATAACATCACAAATTAAATTAACAAGCAATTTTAATAATCTTGATGCTTAAAGCATCTTAAAAAAATAATATATTTATGAGAAATAAATAATTTGTAATAATATATTGCCGCACAATATATTATTACAAATAAATCATTTCTCTTATTCAGACATGTTATAATTTCATTCATACTTACTTTGGATTCTACTAAATCTTGTATAGCCTTTGATATCACATCTAAATTATTTCTCATAGTCGTAATTTTATCCGCACCTAAATAAGAATATTCCTTAACTATTGATAAAGCTCTTAACCGATTCTTCTTTGCGTTTAACTCAGATGGAAGCTTTTCTTTTACAATTGCAGATTGTACTGTTACTTCCCCTGTCAGATGTTGGATTAATATTTGTGGTGTGAGTCCGGTACTGTTGCGTTTTAAACTGTATAATTCACGTTCGACTCGTTGAAGGGAATTCTGGATATAGTAAGATTAAGAAAATAAAAACATTTAAAAATGTAAGTTAAATTTTTACAAAAACTTGTATTTTTTCATAAAAGATATACTTGTAAATCAGAAATAGTGTCTTCCTCTTGCTCCTTCTGCGATATTAGATTGCGTTCTTTGTCTTTTTCCGTTCGTAACAATTTGCAGGCGTCTAGCAAATGCAGCGCGGGTTCAGCTTTTAATTTAATTTTAGCAATACGCGCTGTTACTGCCTGTATTCATTGTAAAAAAAAACATTAATTCTTATATCAGCAAATATCGCTCAAAAATTTATATACGTAATCCCAAATTGAAACTATTATATATATCATTTTTATACTATATATTATATATCGTATATAGTTACGATTATATACACAAGGGATTGATTAAGGTAGTGCAGTATCCGATGAATACAAAAATTTCGTAATTCAGTTCTTTGTACAAATTTTACGTTATAAAGTTTATTCATTTAATATGAAACGATTAGACCGATATGTGTGGATAAATTAAATTTTAAATAACAAGAACTGCATATTTAGTCGAAGCACATCTTAACGTTCACATACATATTTATTGTGTGAATTCATGTATATTCTGATTATGCATATCGTGCGCTAAAATGTTTTCCGGAGTTAAAACACATTTATGAGCAGAACTAAAATAGTTATTACAATATCATTTATTAACAATATCAAATCTTATTGGACCGTGAGAGTTTAATTGGACTCGTAAATTCGTAATAGTACTGCGGTAGTTTATATATATATATATATATAT